ATATATATATATACATATATATATATATATATATATACATTTATATCTATATATATATATACATATATATATATATATATAAGTATATAGATTATTGAGTGTACCGGAGACATTTGGAGTTGAGGCGCAGACATGTGTGTTGATTCATATACAATAATGCAGTCGACTAAAATTTTCCAATCTCGATCTGGAACGCTGCAAGGTCTACACACAATTGAGCCGGTTACAAATATCAAATAATATACACATTAATCTACAATGCTATAGTTCAGTATGCGTAAATACAATTACATACATGCAAGCATGTTCGCGCTTAGTACAATTGCGAGACGCCGCATGTTGAGCGCAACAATGTCGTCCAATAATCTTTTCTTTACTTTTCCGCAGAGTTTGGTCTATTATGAGCTTGATTTGGGTCTGAATCACGTAGTCCGCAAGCACAGCGAAGAATTAGAGGAGGCCGCGAACATGCTCATCCCTGGTAAGCTCCTAAAGTGGACGCCAAACTAAGTTTATTCTGATTCAACGTAATATTCGGTTTATTCTGATTGGTCTTTCGTGGCTGTGTTTGCAAATACCGATACGCTATCTCCAAGGATTTAAGCTTAGTTTATTATATGACTAAAACCGACGTCGGTGCGCATCTGAGTGTAGTTTATATACTTGACATCACGTGTACATTGCGTTTATCATAAATATGTATATGTATACACTGAAGTTTCTGTGTACCAGTTCAATTATGTACCCTTCTTCAGAAGTATTTTTTGTTGTACATCCAAACCATTATTGATATATAAAAGCGATAATGGATTAGGCGATATGATAGTGTGGCTATATCTATGCACGCAGCTATATGTACACATACCTGTGTATGTGCACACGTCTGTACGTGTAGCTACATACATGTGCACTTGTACACGTGTACCCATCCTACTTCTTACCTACCATGCCCACCGACTATCCTCCTTACTCCACCACCCCACACGCTTTAAGTGCCCGGAGGCAACGACGGACCGGGAGGTCTCATTGTGTGCTGCGAGGACTTTGTGACATACAAAAACTTGGGAGAACAAACAGATGTGCGTGTGGCCATCCCCAAACGCCAGAACTCACTCGTAGAGGCGGACAGAAGTACACTTATAGTGGCGTGCGCAGCCCACAAAACAAAGCAGATGACTTTCTTCTTGGTGCAAACGGACCAGGTATTGGTTGTGTTATGTTTGTACAGAGATTGTTATTGTGGTCGTGCCTTTAATATAGTGCACAATGCGCGTGCAGAAAATTAGTAGAAGTGCTCGTATTTAGTGTACATATGAGGGTTGTGTGGATGTGTGCTTGTCGATTAGATGTTGTCTTGGTGATTGGATGTTGTTTGGTGAGTTGTTCCAGAAATGTGCTCGTTGGCCTTGTGTATGCTGACACACTCGCTTCTATGTTAAAGGTTCAACACGCAAATACACACGCACATGTACATCTCTAATGCGAATCTGTTCAAAATACATTTATATATTTCCAAGTATATAAACCATAATATATGTATTTTCAATTGGGCAAAGTGTGTATCACATGTCCTTGCACTCATTCCACGCACCCAACCACCCATCTTACCCTCACTCAGGGCGATATCTTCAAGATCGCCCTCGTAGTCGACGACGACATTGTGGTAAACATGCAGATGCGGTACTTTGACACCATCCCTGTAGCCACAAGTCTAAACATCCTTAAGGCTGGGTTTCTCATGTCCAGCGGAGAGTTTGGTAATCACTTGCTGTTCCAGATTGCCCAGTTGGGCGATGACAACGAAGCAGAGCCGACATACGACCAAGTGACGGAGTACCATGTATGTGTGGGATTCTGATATATATTATATATATGGATATATTATATATATATATATATATAGTGTGAGCTGCATTGCTTGACATATGCATTGAGTGTTTATTTGTCATATGTATATATATAGTGTGAGCTACATTGCTTGGCATATGCATTGAGTGTTTATTTGTCATATATATATATATATATATATATAGTGTGAGCTGCATTGATTGGCATTTCCATTGAGTG